TCGTGAAGTCGACTTTCTTTTGGAAACGGAGGGAGTAGAATATATGGGGTGTCCAACAGAGATTTACTACGTAATGTTTAAGGGTCGTGGATTCTATAAACTATAAAGTTCTAATAGAATTTTAATTAACCAATTCTAAATCCAATTTTTATTTTATTTTAATGGATTCCCATAAATGCTTCTAAAATAATACGTAGGATGTTTTCTTTTGGACTGTTTTCAGTCCCAGACCAGACCAGATCAGACCAGACTTAAACAGACCAGACCAGACCAAACCAGACCAGACTTAAACAGACCAGACCAGACTTGGATAGTTATAAAATACACATAGACCAGACGTTTACCAGACCAGACTAGACCAGTTCAGACCAGACCAGACCAGACTTAAACAGACCAGACCAAACCAGACCAGATCAGACCAGCAAATTTCAGTCCAAAAGAAAACCTACTTTGGTAGTACGGAGTACAAAACTCCTACACATTTGTCCAATGGTTTGGTACCCTACTTTGGTAGAATTTAATCTTTCAAATTCCTAATTATAATGTTCGTCTTCTCAAATGCAACTCTTATTTATCTCATTCACAAACCCGTGAAGACTAATGAACGAAGCCCCTGACGTCGGAGAGAGAATCTAACAGCTGGATCTGTATATGCATGGCTACATTTAATTTCATTTTGCGAGCCAAATAATTCCGAAACGGGCCGACCTTTATTTGGATCAGAATTTCATCATAAGAGAGTTTATGTTAAAACTTAAAACATATACGGAGTAACATCATTTAAAATTCTCTTATGATAAAAAAACACTTCTCAAAACATATAACATCAAATAAAAATTAAAACACTTCTAAAATTAGATTTAATTGGTGTTTTTCAAATAATAAAACTATGTAAACTAGTTATTGAGTCTTTAAAACAATACATTTTGCTTAAATGTCTTACTCTTAGCTTGTTTTGAGAATTTTCATTAGTACATAGGCGAAATCACTTTAAAAGCCCGTTTAAAGGCTTATACTTTCAATTCATCAGTTTTATTGGTTAGCTTTTTATGAAGAACACAATTTTTAATTCACGCATTGAATATTTCAATCATCAAATCAGTAAAGTTAAAGTTAATTTTTTGATTGAATTGGTCGAAGTTAGTGTATATATATAGAATGTAGATGATATTTTGGTTATTTTTCATATAATGTTTTCTTGATTTGATGAATAAGTATTATTAAATTTAGTTTTTCAATACTTTTGCAAATTGAATTACTTCAAACACAATTTATATAATTGCGAAAATATCAACTAATTAAACCAGTTTCAATATTACACGCTATAATCAATACTATGATTTTTTTTATATGGTCTATGAGAACGGTCACGACCTAAAACATCGAAGTATTGGTGATAGGGGTCAAACATACACCTATTACATGGACATCTTTTCAAAATGGTTGATAAGTCCGTATTTTGACACGTATTTGATACATGTTGAGATCGGCTTTTGATGATTTTCCTAGTTTTAAGGTGTTACAAGTCTCAATTTTAGCTCAAGTTATGTTTACCGGGCGTTGATTCGAGTTTTGTGTTGTTTGTAGTCAAAATCAGGGAATTTGAGCCCGGGCACCGACACTTAAGGAACAATCGGGATGATTTGAGAAGCATTTGAGAATGATTTGATAGCTTTGGAGGTCACCGGAAGATTCACAATGAAGATTTGAAGGAAAAAGAGCTCTAGGATTGGCTTCGGGATCAAAAGAAGATGAATGAAGCTTGAAAACGACGATCAGAATGACCTTCTGTCAATCGTTCAAGCATATCTCTTTGTAGAAACATCCAATGTACACGATTCAAGCTCCATAGGAAATCCAACTTCAAGGGCTACAAATCATATGAAGACACCTTTCCGAGAATCTGAGAGGAAGGAGGTGAAAACAGACGATGAAGTCAGATGATCACTGCTGCGATTTCAGAAGACACCTTCCACCGTTTTGATCATATCTCTTGATTGGATGATTCAAATCACATTCGGCAAATTGGGGTGGATAGAGGACTTCATTATCTACAACTTTCATGAAGGAAGTTTTGTCAAATTCGGAAGTTAAGTAGGCACGATCGTGCCCTCAAAGTCAGACACGATCGTGCGTGAAGAGAAAACACGGAGGAGTTACTGCCAGCCAGGCACGATCGTGCCTGCCCAAAATGCGCGTTTTTGCTCCGGAGGCACGATCGAAGGCACGATCGTGCCTGGCATCGTGTCTGGCTTCGAAAATCCTAATTCAGCTCAAATTTCACCCGATTTTTCTATTTAAACATCCTGTAAACCCCCGTTTTCAAGGGGGGAGCTTAGAGAGAGTGCCTAGCACGAAATTTAGAGGGCTTTTCAGCCTTGTTCATCAATCTTTTGGGATTCTTTGTAAGTTCCACATTTTTAATTAATGACAATTAATTCTTTTTATTCCAATTCTATTGATTCTTCAATTATGAATTGTGAGTAGTTTTAATTAGGGATTTGGGATTGATGAAGGGGTTAATCATGATGTATGGCTAGATTCTTGTCGGTTTAATTGCATGAATGCCGTTTAATTTGTGTTTGAATAATTTAACTGATATCTTTTGTAACCTAGATGGCCACTAGAATTACAATTGCATGTAGAATAAATTAAGAGAGATCTAATTTGTTCTAGGACACATTCACACACACTTAATCGTTTGCTAAGAGATTAGTAGCAATTAAGGGGCCGTAAGCTCGCTCGTCTTGGCAATAATTTAGGATCCTGTCGCATGAGAGATCAGCCTGGTCCCCTAAATTATTGTACTCTACGCCGCGAGAGCGGTAAGAACTTAGTAATGATTAGCTAGGCTCAATTAAATTAATTTCATGTAATTAGGCCTGATCTGCCAGAAATCTGGTTACCCCGGAATCGATCCCTGTTCCCTTCGTCATTAATTAGAAAGAACCCCCTAGGTTAATTGTTCGCGTTAGTTTCATTTTCCAAACCAACCAATCTCGCACGACGCTTTTATTTTATTTTCTTTTTAATCACTGAATTTAGTTAATTCTTAATTCCCTTTTGTCCGTCCCTGTGGAGACGATACTCGTACTTACACCACTATATTACGATCTATTTTTAGTGCGAGAAAACACTCATCAATGGTTTTCATGATATTCTATGAAACGGCTTCTAGGAGCAATTTGGAATGGTAAAAAATATTCTGACAGTTTCACCTAAACACTATAGTATCTGTTTTTGTTCTCTTACACTATAACAAAGACAGTTTTAAAAGTTGATCTAAATACTCCTATAATCTAGTCTCAACTGGCCCGATTATTTAAAATTCATGCTAGTTTGACTTAGCTCTTTGAGTCTAATCAAGTATCAGGTGTCATCTGATTTTATTTAATCTAGAATAGAAAGTGGTACCATTGAACGACACATCCTTAATGTCTTAGCTATATTTTAGGGAAGAAGTTATTTGTACACGAAATTTGTGCAAGTTTCACACACATTGTGTCTAATTGTATGCACACACATACAATATGTATATTTCTTAGTTGTCTTTGTATACAAACAATTCATGCGGCGTTGTCCGTGCGCACAAACTAAAACGTACAAATGTGTGCAAAATGTGTACAAATTTGTGTAGGCATCAATGAATTGTTGATGTTTTAGACATGTCAAAAAGCTAACATCAACCAAATATTAAAATAATGACATTAAACATCTGAAACTATTGGGAGTATAAATGAGTATAAATCACACAAGGACTTGGAAGCATGCATTCGGATGATAAGCTGGATACCTATTCATTAATATTTTTTTGGTATTTCGTTTTGATTAGAATAGATAGATGTGTTGGACGTATTCTAGTAGGATACTAGATTTATACGTGTGTATTTAAACCCATGTTGGCAGATGAATAAAGACACGAATCATTATTCTTATGATATTACACATATATCCGCATATCATGGTATCAGAGCTCTAACTTGCTAAAGCAAGAATTACATCGCATATCATGGCGATTGAAGACGAAGACAGTACGTCTTCCTCAGAAAAATCAGGAAAAATAGATTACAATTCACCATTTTTTCTTGGCCCACAAGATCGTCCCGGTGATTTCATAACCCCAGTTCGTCTCACCGCCGACAATTACGATGACTGGTCAGCGTCCGTCCGTTTAGCCCTTCGTGCGCGACGCAAGTACGTTTTTGTTGACGGAACCATAACGACATATGAAAAAATCTGCACCGAAGATGATTGGCTGACCATTCACTCTATGATAGTTTCGTGGATTACCAATGTTATTACACCCGAGGTCAAGAACACTCTATCAAGATATGAAGATTCCAAGCTCCTGTGGGATGATCTCAAAGAACGTTTTTCGATAGTAGACGGTCCTCGTATACATCAACTTAAGGTGGACATTGCGAGATGTGAGCAGTCGAGTTCATCATCGATTAGCAGATATTATGGACGTCTCAAAATGTTGTGGGACGAATTAAATAATTATGAACCGCTTTTGACATGCACTTGTGGAAAGTGCACGTGCAAATTGGGTGAGGCTCAAAGACGTGAATCGGAGCGATTTCATCAATTTCTCATGGGACTGTCGGCTGAGTTATACGGTAATTTGCGGTCCAATCTTCTGTCTCAAGTACCGCTTCCAAGTCTGAATCGGGCGTATCACCAAGTGACACAAGAAGAACGTGTACGTATGTCTGCTCAAGCAAAAGAAATCAAGCCAGATATCGTGAGTTTTGCTGCTCAAACTTCTGGACACGGAAGAGGGAAAATAGCAAAGCAGGATAAATCACATCTTCTTTGTTCTCACTGTGGCTATTCCGGTCATGAAGTGACATCATGTTTTGAAATCCGTGGTTATCCTGAATGGTGGGGCAGCCGACCTCGTGGGAAAATTAAGGGATCTGGAACAAAGAAGAACGCAAGTGGCAGGGACAATTTCAAAGCTAATGCTGCTGTAGTGATGGGTCAGGCATCTGAACAAGGGAATGGAGGTGGACTGCAATCGGCTGGAGTCAGTGCTATGAATTCCCTTCCAGTAGGTGCCGGTTTCACAAGTGAGCAGTGGCAAACAATTTTGGCTACATTTGGTGAAAATAATTCTGGTAAAAACTCGGCCTCTTGTGAACAAATGACCGGTGAGTTTGATTTTACCTCTTGGATTATTGATACCGGTGCCACAAATCATGTTACCGGTTGCATTAATTATTTGACCAATCTTATCCCGATTACTTGTACGGTTGGTTTGCCCGATGGACAACAAGTACAAGCTACAGAGCAGGGATGTATCCGTTTGACGGAACATGTGGTGTTGAAAAATGTTTTATTTGTGCCTCAATTACGGTGTAATTTAATATCGGTGTCACAACTTACCGATGATTTAAATTGTATTATTCAATTCAGAACTAATGTTTGTGCTATACAGGACCTACACTCGAAGAAGCTGATTGGGATGGGTGAACGAAGGAATGGACTTTACTATTTGCAGCATCAGTCACAAACTTCTTCAGTCAATGCCGTAACTCTTACTGCGGATCTCTGGCATCGTCACATGGGACATCCTGCCGGGCAAATTGTGAAGTCTCTTTTTCGTACTACGGATAATGTAATTTTTCCGTGTGATATTTGTTTTCGGGCTAAACAGACGAGAAACTCTTTTAGTTTGAGTGCTAATAAATCATCTGGAATTTTTGAGTTAATTCATTGTGATCTCTGGGGTCCTTATAGTACGCCATCTTCCTGTGGGGCTAAGAGTTTTCTAACTATTGTGGATGCTTTCTCTCGTGCTGTGTGGATCTATCTTGTAGTGGACAAAAAGGAGGTGTTTAAAATTTTCATGTCCTTTATTGCTATGATTTCTCGTCAATTTTTTGTCCCTATTAAACGAGTCCGTAGTGATAATGGTACTGAATTTTATTCACTACGAAAATACTGTACTGAGAATGGAATTTTGTTTGAAACATCGTGTGTGGGAACTCCTCAACAAAATGGTCGTGTAGAACGCAAGCATCGTCATATTTTAAATATTGCACGTGCTCTGCGTTTTCAAGGAAACTTGCCTCTTAGTTTTTGGGGAGAATGTGTTCTAACTGCTGGATATTTAATTAATCGCACTCCCACTCCTTTGCTCCAAAATAAAACCCCTTTTGAGATGTTATATCATCGTGCTCCTGTCTTTGATAACTTAAGGGTTTTTGGTTGCCTTTGTTTTGCTCATAATCAACGGGCCAAGGGTCATAAATTTGCAAGTCGCAGTCGTAAATGTATTTTTGTGGGTAATCCGTTCGGGAAAAAGGGTTGGCGAGTTTATGATCTCGAAACCAGCGAGTTCTTTGTTTCTCGTGATGTTCAGTTTTGTGAGAACATTTTTCCTTTTGCTATATCCCCGGATAATGTAATCTCGTCCGATGAGCACTCGGATGATATGCCTATTGATCACTTTGACCAGTATTTGACTGGAACTACCAAACCCACTGACGCATCCCCACATGTTACTAAAACGGCCAAGCCCACTGCCGCATCCTCACATGCAATAGATTCCATGCCGCCACCAGTTAATGATACGTGTGATTTATCACATGATCATGCTTCAGCTGCTGCTCCAGACTCTGCCAACACATCCTCACAACCTACTGACGCAGTATCACAGCCAGTTGATCCTTTACTTGGTCGTGGTCAATGAACAAAGTATCCCTCTGTCAAGCTTCGGGAATTTGTTACTCACACAGTCCTTAGTAAAAGTCCATTCCCTTCGTCGTCCCCCTCTCAGCTTTCTTCAGGTACTCCTTTTCCTTTAGCACATTACATTAATTGTGACAATTTTTCTAAGCGGCACCGGGAGTTTCTTGCGGCTGTGACTACAGGTATTGAGCCACGTACCTTTGCTGAAGCCATGAAGGATGACGATTGGCGGAAAGCTATGCAATCTGAAATTAACGCTCTCGAAGCAAACGACACTTGGACTCTTGTTCCTTTGCCTCCCGGTAAGCAAGCGTTGGGGAGTAAGTGGGTGTACAAAATCAAATATAATTCAGATGGTAGTATTGAGCGGCTCAAGGCGCGCTTAGTTGTTCTTGGGAATCACCAAGTAGCCGGCCTTGATTATAATGAAACTTTTGCTCCTGTGGCTAAGATGGTTACTGTACGTGCTTTCTTAGCAATAGCTGTCGCTAAAAATTGGGAATTACACCAGATGGACGTGCATAATGCTTTTCTTCATGGAGATTTACATGAGGAAGTCTACATGAAGTATCCGCCAGGTTTTCAGTCCTCTTCTCCTAATCTGGTTTGTAAGTTGCAAAAATCTCTTTATGGATTAAAACAGGCGCCTCGTAGCTGGTTTGCTAAATTGGTTGGAGCCCTCAAAACTTATGGGTTTCTCCAATCTTACGCGGATTACTCTTTATTTACCTATGCCCGCGACAATGTTCAGATTAATGTTTTAATTTATGTGGATGACTTGATTTTGTCGGGAAATCATTCTGGCGAGTTAAGGAATTTCAAATTATATTTGCACAAATGCTTTCATATGAAAGACTTGGGTGTCCTAAAATATTTTTTAGGTATTGAAGTGGCTCGTAGTCCGACCGGTTTATTTCTTAGCCAACGGAAATATGCTCTTGATATTATTTCTGACACTGGATTGCTTGGCGCTAAACCAGCTACCTGTCCGATTGAGCAACATCATTCTCTTGCTCTTGCCACCGGAGATTTTCTATCAGATCCAGAACCTTATCGTCGGTTGGTAGGTCGGCTAATCTACCTTGCTGTCACACGGCCAGACTTGTCCTATTGTGTTCATATTTTGTCTCAATTTATGAATTGTCCTCGCACAGATCACTGGATGGCTGCTCTGCGTGTTGTTAGATATTTAAAGGGTACTCCTGGTCAGGGCATCTTGCTTCGGGCTGATAGCTCTCTATCATTAACTGGTTGGTGTGATTCAGATTGGGCGGCTTGCCCACTTACTCGGCGTTCTATTTCTGGATGGGTGATTTTCTTGGGCCATTCTCCTGTTTCTTGGAAGACGAAAAAGCAAGTCACAGTTTCTCGTTCCTCTGCGGAAGCTGAATATCGATCCATGGCTGCTGCTACTTGTGAACTTAAATGGTTAAAGGGTCTTTTACTGAGTTTGGGTATAAACCACAATTCTTCGATACCCCTTTTTTGTGACAGTCAGTCCGCCATTCATATTGCTCAGAATCCGGTTTTTCATGAGCGCACCAAGCACATTAAAGTTGATTGTCATTTTGTTCGTGATGCTATTCAAACAGGGCTTATTTCTCCATCCTATGTTCCCACCACTGTGCAGTTGGCAGATATTTTAACCAAGGCTTTGGGCAAATCTCAGTTTTATTTCTTACTCAGCAAGTTGGGCATTTGCAATCTTCATGCGCCAACTTGAGGGGGGTATTGGGAGTATAAATGAGTATAAATCACACAAGGACTTGGAAGCATGCATTCGGATGATAAGCTGGATACCTATTCATTAATATTTTTTTGGTATTTCGTTTTGATTAGAATAGATAGATGTGCTGGACGTATTCTAGTAGGATACTAGATTTATACGTGTGTATTTAAACCCATGTTGGCAGATGAATAAAGACACGAATCATTATTCTTATGATATTACACATATATCCGCATATCAGAAACTCTTAATCTACTTTTCTTATGAGGCTAAACATCTTAATCAGACTTGATGGCCAAGTACCTTTACCAAAGTTGACATGAAGTAAGCGGAGGAAATCGGATCCATAATAAGCAGAGCGCCGCCCGCGGGCCATACTAATTCCCCAAGTTGCTGTTTTGGTAGTGAGTCGCTCTCGTCGGGTACCCGATTCATGTTTTCTTTTTCTGGCAAAATAAAAAAACAAAGAGTACGACAAAGGACTACGGAGAATTTAATGTCTTCCATCCTGGAGTGTGATGGTTAACGAATAATTAATTTTTTAGGTCGTCTCTCGTTTCGATTTATTGCTCGGGATAAAATTCTGGTGCAAAATTGATACATATGGAGTTTCTGGGATTTAAATAAAATAAAGTAAGTTTCTGAGAATGTACTGGTTAGTGGTTACTTGGCTAGTGAAAATGACGAGCATAAACTTGATGATATTGGGATTGGGGGGATGTACGTATTGCCGCTCTCATTGTCTCAAAATACGGGCATGCAAAACTGATTCCACAAAAATTCGAATCAAGATAAGATTACAATTAAACAAGCCTAAACGAGTTTTGAAATTTCAAAATAATGTTTCCTTTTCGAAGTAGAAGTATTTAATGTATTCATTATTGAAGCCCTATGATAGATATGCAAAGTATGTGTGGATTTATGTTATCTAAAAAAACTTATGTGTGAATGAACGATGATACACATTATTTATGTCAATATAATGCATGCACAATGAATTGTACATTGTTGTTAAAAAGTGGGACTTCACTTATCACACATAGTTTTATACCCTTAAACATCGTCTCATCCTCCGTTAACTAAATGTTCACTTATTACCATGAAGACACTGACAATGGTATTTAAGTAGACTAAATGTTTTTCTTTTTAATTATTTTGTGTACTAGTATTCGTAGTACCTCGTAGGTATTAGCTAGCTACTTTATTTGCGCATACACTAAATCATGAGATGGTCATCAATTCAAGCCAGGGCCGGCCCAGGGCATGGCTACCCAGTGCGACCGCACAGGGCCCGGATTTTTGAAGGGCCAAAAAAAAATATTAGTATTACACCCCAGCCCAAAATTTCCTGCGTAAATTTAAATATGCTCGAAGAATGTCTCTTTTTTAAAAAAATTATAAGTTATTAATGACTATTTTTATCATTATGTTTATTAGTAAGTTGTATTTTAAGACAATTTGCTTGTGTTGCAACTTGAAAAAATGCCCAAATTTTATTCTCGCACAGGGTCTACATTTCTTCGGGACCGGCCCTGATTCAAGCAAACAAACATTTTCGTCATACTAACATTGAAAATGTAAAACTAACACTACCGGAATTGGCTAAATTGACTAATTATGCTAAATTTATAATGTTCTATCTGAAGTGGTTGTATTAGCTAATTCTTCTCATTTATGAAAAAAATATACATCATATTTAAATGTATTTTATTAATCAAATAAATAAAAAATTATATGAAAAATAGCTAAAATGGCCTCTATCGTAATTTCAATCAATTCAGCCAAAAAAGTAATTTAAAACTAACTTATTTTGATTATTATACAATTCAGCGCGCGAAATTAAAAGTCACGTGTTTGATGAAAAAGTTGACTGATATAGTTGATAGGCTGAAAAATAGTGTCACCAAATGAACTTTTAATTAGAGGAATTTGGCTATAACGATGGAAACATAATTTGAGGAAAGATCTCATAATAATTATGCATGTAATGATTCTCCCCAAAAATTATTACTTTAATATTAGACTAATACTTTCGCGCCTTGCGCAAGTAAACGCTAGTTGAGTTGATGATAGTGGATTTCATCAGCAGATTTGACTAGCGGAATAAGTTGATGGATTTTAAAAACCTGTTTGATAATTTAGATGTTTGATTCGCCATAGCAATTAGTAGGAAATCGTCTATTTCGTAAACACTAAACCAAAACGCTGCTATTTGCAGAATTTTCATTTCGGCAATTTCATTCAAAAATGGTAGAGCCGAACAACTATTTATCAAACGTCATATTCACTTATTCAAAACATTCAAAAAGTTGAAATTGCTATTTTTAGTTGATACACCATTTTTTGAAACCCTTAGAGCATCTCCAA